CATACATATTTGAGACTACCGAGGTTTCTGTGGCAAATAGCAAATTTTGAAGTGGAGAAAGGACAAAATCATACTTCTGTAAATGTAGGGCCTGATGATGTCCAAACTTCGTTTGTGAGCCAATTTATGCCAAAATTAAATAAAAACTGAACTACCCGTTACCCGTGCGGGTAGTTCTCGCTACCCGCAGATAACGGGTACCCGCAAGAATCGTGCGGGTATGCGGGTAACGGGTACCCGACCCGTTACCCGCGGCAACCCTAGTACATACAGGTATGAATTTTAGTATCGATTATTTTGACAAAACTAAATACATTTCGTTAACGGCTTAATTTTCAAGCAAAAAAATTGTAAAAAGTACCCAGGTAACCTGCAAATAAGGCAGGTTATCATTCAAATCCCCGTAAGGACAATGTACATATGTACATATGTACCTCGCTTGGGATTCGCTATTGCGACGGGCCTGATGTTAAGCAATATTTCGTATGGACATGACCCAAATTTGCGTATTTTATGGGTATTAATCTTGCATTTGCTGCAAGTAGGTATACCAAGTCGTTGAATTGTGTCATGTTGTGTTGCGTTGCATATTTAGTAAGAAAGTGCAAACAAAACTGGAAAACAGTAGCACCTAAAGCTTATATGCGGCTTCTACTTACTTATTAAGGATTTATACCACCCAAAATCAGTGATGCAACGACTGCAGAAATGTGGATCGGTGTTGAGTGAAATGAACCTAAACTTTCTTCGTACTTTCAATACGTTAAAGAATCAATTCAGAACATTTTAAGTTGTAAGTTATAGTAATTTCCATTTTTCAGATTTTTATATAGGCCGACCCGACTCATATCTAAATTCAAAAATGAATTGTTTATTGTTTTAAATATCTGCAGTATGATTTACATAATTAGTCAATAATCAACCCATATAAAGACTTAACTGCTTATCTCTATTGTTTCGAGAAGTTCGATCTGATTAATGGCAAACAAAATTCGTCGTTACGCAAACTGAGCATAAATACATACATACATTTATAAACAAGCAACACAGGTATGCTCTATAATAATGTGCTTCCATAGTTAATAATCAACTACTTTTATCCCTGTGTATTAAATAATTACATATTTATGTATACATATGTAAATACAAGACCATAGTTGCCATGAAAACCTATTTTACTTCAAATACGTATTATGCATGTTATTAGTGAACTCCACTCTTAGAAATCCAAGATTAAAAAATTCCAGGTGGTATAAATATGACTCAACAATGTGGTATTGATACACCGCGTAGTAGTAGCACGGCATTAAAATTTTACCACTTCACTAGCAAAGTTTTACGACCGGAATAATTTTAGCACCAAGTGGTTGCACATTTAACACAGAGAAATCAGTATTTGCATGACTATTCCAAATTTCTAAGGGTGGTTATACTATATTGATTATGCGTATGCAAATATGTAAATATGTAATCATGTATTTATTACGATAGCCTTCGAGAAAGCCCAATTCTAAGGAAACTAAAATTAAATATGTACATATATTTAACATAGAAATACTTAATAAGATCCAATTTATAGTCACGACCCATTAAAATTCAAGGGAATCCTTCCACTCCACTTTTCTACTTCGTAGTAGGCTTGTATTTACATATTTTGCACAAGATGCTACATCCTCCGCTTACAATTGTGTTCTATTTTCTACTAATATACAACCTTTCAATTACTTTTTCTATTACAGCCTCCCCCAAAAATTTTAATCCCGTTACAAAATGCACATTTAAAATATACCAACCATCCAATAATTGGAAAAACGTTAACTTTGACATTCTTAACATAGTTCAAAACAATAACTTAGCATTCTTTAAAGCTGCAAGTTTCTTTGTTTTCGCACAATCTATAAATCATACCAAAATTACAGATAATTCATTCACTAAAATACAAGATCCACAACTACGAAGTGATTTTTGTGTGGTAAATTATTTTATAAAGGGATTTTCCACCACGATGGATCTTCCATCCAATAAATTTTTCACCTGTCTCAATTCAGATCGAGACACGTGGCGAAGCTATAACGGCATTTATTGGATACTTGTTATTTCCGAGAGGAAATTTTTTTCGCGAATAATTAATTCTGAAATTCGGACAAAAAATATTAAAATATTTTACATGATAGTCAAGAAAGATGAACTGTTTGACTCCTCAACTTTATTTCGGGTTTGTACAGAGAACAATGAACTTATCGAAATAAGAGGCCCGATGGATTTGTTACACCGAAATAATGACATGGTTTCCATAAAAAATGATAAGGTTTCGCTATATTTTGGATACGATGTAGAACCAAAATTAGACCATTGCGCGGAATATATTTATACAAAAAATATTCTGTGCTATTTAAGAGAAAGGGTTATGGCAAATCTGTGTCGACAATTAAATATGACGTGCGTGTTAGTAAAGGCTCTTAATTCAACGATAGACGAAAGTGCCATAAGTCCGTCAACAACGAAATTTAGCTACGATTATGGGGACATTGGAAAAATCTATAACTATTATTTCGACGGATTAGAACTTTTGCATTGTATTTATGATTCTAAACGTGTTGAAAGTGTGTCATTTATGGCGTGGCTGGTCCCATTCAAGGCAACCGCTTGGATTACGTTGCTCGCATTATTGCTCCTTTTAGGGGTTGTCACACTGGTTCAGGTAACTTAATATATGTAATGCATCGTACATTAGTGCACTCATAGAAATCCTGTATTAAAATAATACCAAGCGGTAGTCATGACTCAACCAAAATGGTTTGGTCTGTAAGTAATACCTCCAAATTAAACGTTACCAATTCGATAGCAAATTTTTACCGACCGGTACAATTTTACTACCAACTTTAGTACAAAGAAATCAATAGCTACGTGACTCTATGTACTACGTTTCTAACACCATGTTCTTCCAAAAAGTGATTATTGAAATAATCAATTAATTTTGTTAATTATGTATCGAATTGATTGTTCTAGCTGAAATGCAAGTCAGGAATTCAATCTGATCCGTTCGGACTTTTAGGAATATTGCTCAATTTTTCTGGCCTTCTATTTCATCAAGCTCTAACTAACAAGAGTATTGCAAAAATGTCAAAACTAATTATAACAGCGTTTCTACTGGCTTCAATTGTTATCACGTGGAGTTATGAGTTCTACCTGATTCCACACCTAATCACCCCACCACCCTCGAATGCTTATTCTTCACTGAAAGATCTTATGGCTGCAAAATACCAGGTATGTATGGTTGCGTGGGTGCATACTTGTTCATATTCATTTATTCAACACAGAATGAATAAATGTTTCAGTCATTATTCATGAATTTATTGCAATAAATTCATGAAATATGGGTGAATATTTTTCCAAAACTGTTGAATGAATGAAACTTGAATAAATGTTTGTTCATTTTACACTCATGAAGAGTAAAAGAATTATTGCATTCACTATACTAATTTTTCACGGTTTGCTGATGACATGGGGTATATTGATAAATTCATCCAATAGGAGAATTTCGTGATAAAATGAATTCAAAATAAAAAATTACTTATTTCCAAATTTTGAATAAATGAATAATGAATGAATATTTTTTTAATTCTTAAATTAATTGGATTTTGAACGAAAATATATTTTCTGAACAGGTATGGCTGTCAGATGCTGCATTTCTGGATCCACTTAAGGAAGAATTTACCCTTGAAAGATACCCTTCGATGCAAACACGTCCTTCCATTTGCACAAAGAAACGTTTGACGAAAGATTAAAGTATTTTTCCAAGGATAATTCGAAAATGGCGCTTTTGCACGATTTGGCTTGTCCCTGGTATGATTTAGCTTCATTAAGGTACAACGTCCAAAAGGGAAAGTATGCCTCGTTATTATTTTGAAGACGTCGCAATATTTAGGATGTATCACGATATGGTCGTGTCCACGAGGGTGAATGAGGTTAAAAGAGTTACAAATATTTTTGAGGAAAATGGGTTCCAAAAATTGTGGAGAATTTGGGAACACTCGTATTTCCGATTTAAAGAGAAAGCATTGGAAAGGGGAAATATTAGGGTGAAAGGGAAAGAAGAGTTTATTTCATTTTGGAATCTCGTCTCACTATTTTTTGTTTATGGTGGGTTACTTGCTGCTGTGGGGTGAGGCTTATGTTAGAAATTGTTTGGTCTAGATGGTTTGAGAAACAATAGCGTAAGTGTGATGTATTTAATAATGACCAACATAAATACCTTTAATTAAATTTAGAATGTTCGATTAGAATGCTCAGAAGTATGTCAAATAAAAATTAACTGTAAAAATATAAAAACCACAATTTGTTAAAATCTGTTACACTTACTATTAGTACAAATCATAAACATGTAAATACATAAATATGTGCTAGACCATAAAGTTTGGTTGCATGTAAGGAGCTTCATAATCGCGATTAAAATCTATTTTACTGGAAACACATATTACATTAGTAATAAACTACTATTCCAATATGTAATCATGTACATATATATGTATTATTAATGCATATAATTTGGCAAGAACCCCAATCCTAAGAATACTAAAATTATATATACTTAATGAAAAAATTATAATAATGCGAAAAAAATAATGTCAAGTTTACAGTCACGAACCAGTCCATGGAAATCCTTTTAGTCTAGTATATTTTGAGTAAAACAATACATCCATCGATTACAATTTCACCCTATTTTCCATGAAAAAAATTAAGCACAACAAAACTTGCGTTTTTACTCTCATTTTCATGCAGAAGTTAAATTCATCATTTTTGCAGTACATTCAGCAGGCAAAATTCAAATATATGCATCAATAATTAATTGCATAATTAATTAAAAAATAAAAGACATGGAATATGCCAATGATTAATTTACATATTTACATAAACATTTATGAAATTTTCATGGATTTTCCAACAAAGGAAAAAATGTCCCAGCTGTGACAGAAGCGGCAACCAAATCAAATACTCAATTCAGCAAAACAAAAAAAGAAACAAAACAAGATTTAAATATTTATTTTCGTATTTGATACTGTTAAACGATTAACTAAATATAATTTGCTATCTGTAAAAAAATGCACATTATCGTACATGTAAGCCCTTAGCCATTTCCATTTCCTGCAACATTTTAGTCTTATAAATTCGTCAAAGTTATAGAAATTCTATAATAGAATCAAACACAATGTTGACAAATGGAAACTTGACATGTCGAAGAAAACTATCAATTAAATCACAATGTGCGTTTTATCGGTGCAAAATTTGCTCCACATTTTACTTAAGTGAGGGCAAAATAGTCGCCCATTTTTTCGATAAGCATGCCACCGGCTGGGACTCATTTGAAGAGGTCGTCCTTCCCTCTGCGACAATTTGTTTGGACAGGACAACAGTAATAAATGCGGTATTAATTAATTGTCGTTTAATGCCATTTAAGACTCAATTGATCATTGTAAATATTGAGGCAGTTCACGCAGTCCTTGGTAACTTTGTAAAATCATCTGTAATTTACAGATGATTTTACAAAGTTAATGTAAACATTTGTATAAGTTTACAGTCTGTAAACTTATACAAATGTTTACAGATATTTCCAACGAAAATTAGATTTTTGTAAACTTGCTCAGGTCAAGGGTGCCTTTTTAGTTTGTAAAAGCTTATAAAATTATTTTAAAAAGTTTACGGATTTTACAAAGTTACCAATGACTGCGTGAATTGCCTCATTATTTAATTTTAATTTAATCTCAGGGTGGAGAAGTCCAAACTATTCCCCCATCCTGTCAAGAATTTGATGAGAATGATATAAATTTCGTCCCAATTAAACAAGAAGAACCGGAAGTAAACGATATTGATGCAGACGAAGTTAATTCAATTTCCTGGCCAGGTCTTCACAAAATTTTACCCATACAGAGAAAAGCTAGAAACATTAGAAAATACAATTCTTCACCAAACGTATCTGATACCGAGGAATTTTGCGTCGGAAATGAATCACCCTCCTCCAACGAAGATGATGATAATGACGAATTTTTTGAGGAGGTTGGAATCCATCCGAAAAAACGGAAGCGATCTGATACCCCGGCGGACAATGATGGCCCTCCAGCTATCGCCTGGGTCCGTTGTGAACATTGTCCTGCAAAATTTAAAACCAACTTTCGCAGGGAAACTCATATCGCGAGAGTTCATGAAGGTGCGAAAATAGATATATAATTTTATGCGGTGGAGAAATTTACTCATCAATTTTTTTCATGATTTACTACACGTTTTTTCTCTGCATTAATATTACATATTTTATGAAATGAAAAATTTTACTTTTACTTTCCACTATGAATAATTAAACTTTTTGTACAGGAAAGGACAACCCTTTTCAGTGTGACCTGTGTCCAAGATCGTTTAAGGGGTGGAGTGCCGCCTTGTTGCATATCGACGTGTACCATCAACCCAACGTTTCTTCCTCTCTTGAAACCACCCTTTCCCCACCTTTAAAGGAAAATCCAGGTCACGAGGACGATTCAATACAGGGTAAAACTGGAACAAGCCAAGCCTTATTCGACACAATTTTCAAATCCGACCTTGCACCTGAATTACCACTTCCGGATGAAACCGATGACTCCAATCCCACACCACCACGTCCCAAAAGAATCTACCCACGCGTGCCAAATCCATCTAGACCTTTCGAATGTGACCAGTGTCCTCGTCGATTCGCGGAGGAATGGATCTTGAATGGGCACATTCTTCGTTTTCATCATGGTAACTCCGAATTATTCAGCTACTCAAAACCTGACAAAATATTCATAATTCCTTCTCCCCACAGGTGACAAATCCCCCTTCAAATGCGACCACTGCCCTGCCCGATTTCACGCCAAGTCCCTGATCCTCTCTCATCGAAGTCTTACCCATCCTTCCATCCAAACCCCATACACCGGCTCGAAACAATCCCTCTCCTCCAGAATTGCCCAATTACTAAAAAAGCCCCCCAAAAAGAAGAAGCAACTTCCCCCCACCCGCCTACCAACGCCTCTCATCTTCACCTGCACAAAATGCCCCTCTCCCCCTTGCCCCCGTCTCTCCTCCCGAATCGCGTGCCACATCCACCTCGCCCGTTGTCATGCCAACCCCTCCAGCAAATTCCCCTGCACGCAATGCGACCTCGTCTTCCTCACCGATCGTGGCCGCGCCATCCACACGGATCACTTTCACGTTAAGAAAATCTCCTCACGCGAAAACCCCCTACATTGCGCGACCTGCGACAAAAAGTGCGCGTCCCTTATTGCCTTCAACAACCATACCGCCTTCCATTCAAAATCAAATCAAAGTCAGATTCACCCCCCACCCCCGAAGGAAACCCATCTCTGCGAACTATGTCCCCTAACTTTCACCAGCCTCCGATACCTCGAAGACCACCGGGTCCGCGTGCATTACGAAGTCCTTGGACTGAACCCTTTCAAATGTGACACCTGCGGAAGGACGTTGACCACTCTGACCAAGTTGAAAAGTCATATTGTCGTCAAGCACACGAAACAGTATACGTTTCCGTGTCCTCAGGACGGATGCGGGATCGGGTTCGAGGACGAGACCCAACTAAAAACGCATGTCAAGATTGTACACCTCAAGGAGAAACCTTTCCAGTGTGACCAGTGTCCCAAAGCGTTTGGACTCAAGTACAATTTAATGGTCCATATGAGGATTCATACGGGAGAGAAGCCGTACGTTTGTGGGACGTGTGGAAAAGCATATTCGGACCAGCCGACGTACCGGAGGCATTTGGAGACGCATGGGGATAAGGTGCATACGTGTGACACGTGTGGAAAGGAGTTTAAGGTGCGACACGCGTACAGGGTGCATTGCAAATTGCATGAGAAAAGGGGGGAGCTGGTTGCCAGGAAGTAGAGAATTTCGACTTAAAGATTTAAAGATATGGAATAAATTTTACTTATTTCAAGCCATATTTACAATTATTTATTTACAATTGTTAGTACAATAATTACTAACATGGCATACATGCGGCGTGGTCGCGGAATATAATTATGGGAACATTCATATGTACACACATAAGCCTAGCAGTTTGGCATTATTTTCCCCGAAAGTTGTCGCCTGAGATATTTAACAAATATTCACAAAAACGTACGCGGAAATATTTATACAATATTTGCCACCAACACGTCATGTTAGGTTGAATAATTATTATGAATGCAAACACTTCTCAATAATAGATTATCGTCACGAAATAAATTATACACACGAAAATCATCAGGTTTTGCATACATAGAAGCTCCTTTTACTAGAACGATTCTCATTATCTGCTGAAAATCACCGGTTTAAATATTACCAGGCATTGATAATATACTTCACAGCCCACGCTATGTCTGCCAAATATCTACTTGGTTTACATATTCGTCTCTCAGCAGATATGTATGCGAGTCAGAGTCATTTGCAAATTTCATACTAATAAAAATTGTAATCGATTGATACAAGTTTGCCCTAAATCTACGAGCATACGTCGGGAGACCTCCATTGTAAGTGTCATTGTTTTACAGAAATCGATGGAATACATTAGAGGTGAAATGGATATCCATTTTATCCAATCCATTTGGAATCCAATCCAATCCATGGATATGGATTGGATTGGATTGGATGGATTTTTGGTTGTGGAAAAATATGGATTGGATTGGATTGGATAATTGGAAATCTGGATTGGATTGGATGGATTTTCGGTTGTGGAAAAAATTATGAATTTTCACTGTGACTTTCTGTGTAGAAATCATAACCAGGACGCTATGTCATTCTAAATATTCTAAAATCTGTGTATTTATCTACGTATATTTTTAGCTTAAAGCAGGAGGGTGTACTGCTGGTTTGGTCGGTAACATATTGGCATTTGAAAGGAGAGCCAAATTCACTAATGTTTGTATCCAGTTTTTGCCTGTCGATTGGCGGTCGTATAAACTAGTTCTGTTATATTACAAATATAATGAAATTTAACAATAGGTGTGTACCTATATCATGGTAGTATTTTTTTAAATATAGTTTTGCTGATTTTGTAAATATTATATCAATGTTTTTACACAGGATTCTATTGATTTAATTTAAAACTAGTCCTGGATAATATAGATTTTTTGGTTTTGGTTTGAATTGGATTGGATTTTTAATAGTTTGAAAGTTATGGATTGGATTGGATATTTTTTTTACAAAATTTCGAATGGATTGGATGGATTGGATAAATCCAAATGGATTATGGATTGGATGGCAAAAAATTTTGTATTTACCATTAATTTAAAAAAAAATTCAAACAATTTCCGAAAATTTTGTCAAACAATTATCATTCGACTCACGCTAGCAAGAACATGACAAAACTAATCATTCTGAAGGCAAGAGTGAAGCGTCACCTAAAACATGGCAACCATTTCTTCTGCATATATGCAACATGGAACAGTAATATGGGGAAGTTTGTGCAAATTCCGAAAACAAAACGTCGTATTGTATACGGTTTTACGATTTTGCAACTTATCGTCATTTCTATTCGGATTTGGTGAACTTTTTCCAAGTGGACGACTTCCTCAGATTATATTCTTGGCACTGCTTTGACATCCATTACATTATTTGGGACCTTTTTTCGATGCGAGCGGTACGATTTTATTCAAGTGGAGTTCTTGAATTACATCTTTTCCAAGCGAGGTAAGGTTAAAAGCCATCATGGAATTATGTCATGTTGTCCGATAAGTTGTTTTGGGGTCAACATAATCCCATTTTGAGCCTACATATGCAGATACATACTCACGACAACGTCTTACGTATTTCGCAATTGCAAATTGCAACTCGTTTAGCACCGTTAAAAAAGCTATATCGTGATGGGATTCACAAATTTCGTAAATCTGTACAAACTGGGCTATTATCTTATTCGGTTTCGGTGGAATATCTAAAGCATTTAATAAGGAGGATGAGTTTGCGAAATAATCCTTTGAAGCAAAAATATTCTCAGTTACTGGGAAATTTGTAAAAAACATCCTACGGTTTTCCACTAAAAGTTTTCCGGAAAGTTGCAAATTTCGCATAACCTCTCAAGTTAAACTGTTATGCTTAATTTGCGAGATATGTATGCTAACTTGATTTAAAAACGCTTCCTGAATAATTTTTCGAAAACAAGGGATCACTTAGCATGAATTTTTGTTTTTAAAAAATATGCAGCAAACAAGATTTCTTAATGTAAATATGTATCACCGTTAATTAGATAATCGTTCTGCCTACAGGTGACCGATTAGGCAAGAAGGAAAACATGTCTCTCACTTTCCTAATCTTATTGCTGGATGCGCTCGAGATCGGCTACCATACTTTTGCCACCATTATGTTCGCTTTGACTATCCTGCTTCCCTGTCAGCCTGGACTGATAAGTTCCATCGCCTGTTCGAACGACCACATATTCTACACCGGAAACTGTCTTCGTCTTATCTTCGCTGCGTTGGAATTCTTCATTCTGATGCAGGTCACTGTTCGAGCGACCTTCTACGTGGTACTCGTCCTTCTCACGGACTTCATCTTCCTGTGGATTGAGTGCGGAATCTTTATTTCAAACAATGTCAGCAGCAAAATCTACCAAATAGAGTACAGAAAGGTTCAAGTTTTGGAAAAAGTGTTGAACGCTTGCACTCGAAAAAGCATTTTTCTCAAGACAGCATTCCTAATGCCAACGTTTCAAATGTTTATGTCCTTCGTAACGATTATTCTGTACCACTCGGAAAATCAAAGTTTCATGTCGGTAGCATTCCTATGGGTGTACTTCCTTACGCTAAGCGTTACTTTGCTTATCTTCTCCGCGGCTGCGCAGATATACCGGATGAGTGAGAATTGGGTAGGAAGTTGTAAATTTGGGAAGAGGAAAAGTTGGGAGAGGAAATTTCGTAAATCTTTGATCCCGCTGAGGTTACAATTTGGAAATAATTTTGTTGAAGTGTTAACGCCTCTGGTGGTACAGGAGTTTTGTATCCGGCAGACAATATCGTTCCTTATGATCACCAAATAAGTAATCTGCTTAGGGGAGATCCGTAAATTATGTTACGCAAAAATTGCGGTTTTCTAGACCTCCCTCCCCACCTTTAACATGTGTCACATTGGCACGATATCATTGGAGCCATAGACCCCCCCCCTCCCGGGTGACATAATTTATGGACGGTCCCTTCTTGAATGTATAGCAAGTTGCTGTACATACGTGGAATTTAAAATTAATTAGAACTTTGTATTGTCCTTTATATTGTTTTATATATTTTACTACTGTGTTCTTTGTGTTGTAGTTAAACACATACATCCATTGAAAACTAATATATTTATATATATATATAGAAACCCTTTAATCAATTGGTTATGATAGGAATCCAATATTTTAGCAAGGATGCGTCACAATTGAGGCAGACATTGTAAACACAAGCTTGTATTATGCAAATAGAAAATCCATGCTTGTCTGCAAGAAAAATATGCATTAAATGATTAGGGATTATTTACATGTATTTCCCAATAACTCGATTTTCACCATAGCAATTTATTTAACTTTATCTGCAATCTTTCCCACCAACAAAGCGTGTCCGTATTAATTAATAGTTAACATGCAAGTACGCATACATACATTACATAATTTTATAAATGTACATTTATAAAATTATGTAATGTGATCCTTATTAATATATCTATGATGTTCACTTGGTTCCGAAATATATACATACATAAACGTCATGGAAATATTAAGTTTCGTAGTTATTCTAAACATGTATTTTTGTATCATGTAATTTCTGTGTAAGCTTCTAAGCTACCAATTTTGACCAACCAATTACTCCTACTAGGGATGTCGAAAAAACGTTATTTGCAGTCGCTTAAATCTCTAGAGCAGTTCATGCAACTTTCAAGTAATCATCGTTTATTCGAAAAGATTGGTACGCATATTTCAATTATTTAAATTGCTGAGTCCGGCCGTGACCAAAGGTATAATTGCTTTCTCACCTTCAAAAAGCACCAACGCATTGCATATAAAGAAAATATAGTTCTGTACTACGTGTCATAACCTTGGCCTTTGCCCGATGTCAGCATCTGTAAACAAATTATCTCACCCGAATTGACCAAATCACACGAATATAGCTACAAATTTCCCTCTTTCAATACACCACTACCATGCAAATTAAACCTAAATTGAAAGGAAGCAATTATCCCCAATTACCGGAAAAAGGTCGACACTGCCTACAATATTTGGTTAAATGTTTCCTGTTCCGTAGTAAACTATAAAACTATAGGTTTTTGCATTTCTAGACAATTCTTAATTCAAATTAAATTAACCGAAAGAATCCTATCGAAAATGCTTACAAACAAATTTCTTGGTTATGTTCGTTTTCACCTAAAAATATGCAACGTGCTTGCACTTCTCCCGTTTAAATTCAGCTACGGAAAAATAATACCTAATGTATCCAAAGTAGCTCAAATCATAACTAGATTCCACCTTCTTTGCCATCTCACTTACACCGCGGTCCTTCTTGCTGGAATGATTTTGAAAAAAGAGAAGTCGGTAGTAAAACAAGTGCAGGGTTTGATGCCAATCATTATTTATGTAACGCTCCTTCTCTTCCGGTGGAAATGGCAACCTGACCACGATTTGATCAATTTTTTGAACTCTGCAATCCTCTTTGAACACAGGGTTATTAAAGGTACATATACTTCAGATTTTTGATTTATAGATTGTTTGTGTATTTTGTAATAGTTAAACAGCGACCTGCCAGTTATTATACATATATACATAATATATCTAAGCTTTATCATTTTTGAAGATTCTACATATCCTATGACGAGCCAAGATAAGTTATTCAAGATAACCGTGAACCTCGTTATGTCTACGTATTTTGCCTCACCTATCGTCAAGTTGTTCATTCTACGGAACAATATATGTGCCCCACCCTACCTGGGATCCATCCTTCTCGCCCAG